ATCTCTTGAAACAGCTGCTTTTGTGCTTGTAACAATTCCTGTAGTGTTTCGTCAGCTGGGAGTTTGATTCAAGTTTGAAAACCAAGACTATCGATCGGACAAATCCAATGTCAGCAAAACTACTGTACAGTTTGGCAGTCAATTGATTGACCATAATTGTAAGCAACAAAACAACTTTTATTTGCAAAAGAAAAAGGAAAACGCAGTTTGTTTTTGAATCAAAATATTAGTTTCAAAACTGTATGGTGAAAAACAGTCTTGTGATATGCAATTATTTACAAGAAACTATAGGTTTCAAAACCAAAGCTATTAAATTACACGATTGGGAAGTTGCTGACAATGAAAGTGGTCATTTCCACAAAGTGAGGTTTGTTGTGTGATGGAACCCATACGATATTATTCACCTTTAAGAAATCAAACGCCGTGTATTGTGTAGAACGAGGTCGAGAAACAGAGTTAGGATTAGCGTTATGCAGCCAATAAAAATCATTAATTCTAGTCTACATACCTTATTGATGAGATGGTTCAAACGTCAAAACAAATCGAGTCAACTTCTCAACACTCGCAATAGTATCGTTTTGTGGCAACACTCGACCATCTGTTCCGTGGTAGCTTTGGCGTGTAAAACAGGCAAAACGATCAGGAGGTACAACACAATACAGTTCTGGTTTCGACGGATTACCAAGTATTTTCAAAACATCACAAATCCCAGTCTGTTTGCAAGGATGATCTTTGACACCGGTCATTTGGAAAAGTAGATTTGGCTTGATGAACGAATCAACAGATTCAAAAATATTGCTAATGGGACGGAAATAGCAATTCGTTGCGTCTTGAACTTGAGAATTGTTGGAGAATAACAAAGTAGTAAGATCCATCGGCAGTTGAAGTGTAGACTCCAGCTTGGTACGTAAATCACGAATCTTGAATGAACCACCTTTAGCGATGACTGTATGAGCGTGCTTTTCAAATAATGCCCTATTAAGTTGACCAGTTTCACCAATTTCTCGAGTGACAGAAACAAATCTGATAAGATGATCTCGGTCTCTGGCATAGACACGGTTGTAAATTTCATCAACCACATAGTCAAAAGCAAACTGATAAGGACCACTGTGGAAGCCATCCTTGACTGATATATGAATCAAACAACTTGAAGCGTCTAGGTTTTCACCATATTTACCAAAAGACTTGACAACTGAATCGATATTGGAAATATTTAAAGCTTTGTCAAGAAAATCCTGTTGTTCTTTTACCAATGCATATTTAAGAACATAACGAGCAATTCCTCCCCACTTCAAATACAGACTTTCAACCAATTCTTGTGGGACTGTAGGAAAAAGCATTGAGCGACAAGAATGCAATTCTTCTTTTGACCACACTGGCATATACCGAATGTCGCAGGACCCCTTGGAAAACCGATGCCAAATTTCCCGACGAGGTAAAGTAACAAGAATAGTCTTGGCATCAACATCAACAGGTGCCGAGCCATCAACAATGTAGAATGTTGACGAGGAATCCAAGATTTTCCAAAAAGCATGCTTTCCTCCTTCGAATACACCATTGGGAGTAAGCAGATATCTTTTTTGATCAACTCCACTCTCATACACGACTGTAGCACCAGAGCGAGCAAGATGCAACAGCAAAAAGTAACCAAAATATGTCTTGCCAATTCCAAGATTTCCAAGGATGATCAAATGACGTATATCAGCAGATTGCACAATAGATAGTGATTTTTCAAGAAGTTTAGGATAACAAGGACGGATGTAAATGGATGATCCGATTGAATGGTTTCCAAGGATGAATACGTCTGCTGGAAGTTGGACAACAGTGTTTCCTTCAAGAGGGTTAGGGTAGTATGTGAAAGCAGTCCAAAAATCCAGTAGTGCGGGTGAGGCTGCAGCAGATGTTGGATCTAGGTAAGTTCGGGTAGGTTGTCTTGGAGGTAGTGGTAAACAACCAATAACAACACAAAAACCATCTTGAGTAAAGTATTATTGAGGAAGAGAGTCGAGTAAAGCCCAGGTGTTGATTAGTTGGTCCTTGTTGATGTTGGTGTATAGTTGCAGTTGAGGAGCATCAATGTCAGCCATAGCAGGACCATACTCAGACTTGATAGCATCCTGAACGTCACTCAGGTCTTCAAAGTCAGTCACATCGATTTCAGTAGAAATAGTGCCATATTCAACATTGAGGAATCGTTTTGGCATTTTATGAAAGAAAAAGAGTAAAAAAGCAATTTATTTGTCAAATTGTAAAACAAAAATCGACTTTTTAATCGAGTCAAAATAACAAAATTTTGGGATATTTCAATACAATTCACACGATTTAAATATTTGGAAATTAGTCAAATTCACACCAGAATTAATGTCTCATTAATGTGAGACATTACTAGTGTGAGAGTGTTGACTTGCATTGTGTGAGACATTAGTAGTGTGTGAATGTGAGACATTTCTGAATAGTTTAACAATCAAAAACCATCAACAATGACGTTTGAACTGGAATTCACATGACTTTCTTGTCTTCCATCTTATAAACACACTCACTTTCTTGTTAATAAACAACACAATCGAATATTGATTCATTTCATCACATCCTTGATCAACTATAACACACTTGACAATAATGACAACCATCAATATGCCATCATATGTCCACGATCCTCAAATCCAAAAGTCAATTTGAAAACCCCATTTTTAAGCATCTACAAGTCTGCAATATCAGATTTGTGGCTGGTACATAATAGGTTGCCAATAAAAGTCGACAAATTGAGCAACTGCAATGTGCCTTGCTGTATGATAGTAACATATCAAAAATTATGAATGCTTTCAAAGTCAAAAGTCTACAAATGATGTCACTGCTGGCTTGTAGTCTCTGTTTACAAACCTACAATCGACATATTCACTGGATTCGTATAATGGTAAATGCTGAACCACAAACCGCTGATGATATTATTATGGATGATGCTCATATTATTGGAAATCAAACGATTGGTGCTGTTTCAAATGCTGTTTCATCACACATAAAGTCTTGCTACAGAGTCTGAATCCAATAGCAGTGAATCTGCAGTTTGACCCAACACAGTCAATAATTATCGTTTCAAACTCGAATCAAGTGATGATGTTGCTGTTTCAGATACACTCAATGTCATGAATGCAGTAACATTGAAACCAACTCAAATCATTGATCATGAACCAATTTACCGTGTCTTGATAAAAACACTGATAAACCATCATTCATACATGAGCTTGTCAAAAGTATGGACCGATTGCTGACCAGATGTTTAAAGTGGAACTCAAAACAGTGCAACTCAATGTGCAGCTTTCCCACGACTTTCCCGCTACAAAAAATACAGTCTTGGAACTCAAAGTGTACATCGACAATACTTGTGTGTATTGACCATCAATGATGTTGTTGGTGTAGCATACACAATGTGCATTGCAGAAACGCTTGTTTGTTTGCTGGAGCTATTTCAAGCAAGCAAAAATACTAAAAGGTTCAGTTTGATGAGTGTCTGGTGTATATTTACAATGAATTCAAACTCGAGAGATTGTCGTATTTTGCATACAAGACATACTACAATATATTACAACAATATCGTGTATTTCAATATGCACCCATTCGATTTACAACAGTGGCATAAACATCATCACATTTGAACAATGGTTCAGTCGTACAAAGTCCAATAACAGCCATGAATTGTATCAGACATGAACATACTGGTGCAAAATTCACATCAAATAACACACCGCAACAAACATGTTTCTGGTAGATGGTGGAATTGATGTCATTGATTTTCAAGTACACGATATTGGTGTTGAATGATTCAATAAACTATACTTGTCGACTTTGTGTACTTTTTTCAGTTGCATCGTTTCTGATTCCAAGTTTAAAGCATAATAGTTGCGACAGCGCTGTTGTCCGATTTGCTTGTTTTGTGAATAGTAATCATGATACCACTTGTTTGACGCTCCCTGTTGTTGAACTGGATATGGATGTCAAATATGGATGCCAATTTGAATGCATTGCAAGTAATTGTTGTAGTTTTTGATCGAGTCAATGAATGGCATTTATAGTTGCTCTAGAAAACAAGTTGTTTGAAATGTCCTGTCATATGTCATATGTTTTGTTGTTTTCATGTTCACTAATTGTTGATAATGCATCCAATTGATTTCTGTTTTGACGCTGCTTATTTGTCATTGTTGGATCTGGGTTTCTAGATTCAGTAACAAACGTTTCAGCAATTTGGATGTGTTCAAATTCATAATACTTGCAAGTCTGAATTATTTGATCATCATCTGAAATTGGATACGACTAATCATTTCCACTAACCACAGTATACATAGCATAACAGGCATTACTGTATATTGACTTGTATTTTACTCAAAGGTTTGTCTGGTCAGTATTACAACACAATTTCCAATATTGATTGAATGGTTTGCAGTGTTTGTTTTAATTGAACCACTTGATGGATCACTTTCATATCTTGATTCAGCAATATCACCAACTGCACAATGATGGATGTGATTGTAGTCAAACACAATATGTTGCAAGGCATTAACGTATTGGTTAGTTTTAGTATATTATTGATAAAATGCAATGATGTTTTGTAATGAGGTGTTAAATCCTTCAATCAAACATTGTCTTGTGATTTCCAACATTGACAGTGACATGGCAAACACATTTTGCTTGTGACAGACTTTGAACAAGTGTATTGCTCCGTTTGTTGTACAATACACGACATGGTCAGTTGATGGTATCATACAACTGACAAGTGATTGCAAGTATGTCTGATAGTTACACGCAACACTGGTTGTTATCATGTCATTGATGCATATGGAACAAGCCGTGTCAATGTATCAATCAACAATCCAGTAACTATTGATGTAATATCCAACACAATACACAATCAATGATATGATTGTTGACCATTCACAATACTCGACAAATACCAACACACATCAGAAAGTTTAAATTTATTCAAAATCAAAATCATCGACACATCATCAATCCGAGTCCGGTTCTTCAAATTTCAAACCATGCTTTTCCATAAACACTTTCAGATCATGTCTGATACTGTATACTCTTCTGCTTGCCTTTTCATACTCTTGCTTCAATTGATTTTCAGTGTCTGGATTGTACTTTGATCCTGATATTTCTTCTCCTCTTTCTAATGCTGACCATTGTTCAAATTTAAGAGCCATAGATTTACAATATTCTTCGCGTTTTTTGTTTCGTAATTCTTTAGACTCTACAAGCCTTTTCTTTATACGATTAAAGCTTCTCTGATATTTTGGGCCTAATACAGCCACTTGATCTGGAACAGTATTGGCAGACTCGCCTTGTTCCATTGGTTGTTGCTGGTTTTGACTGGAAGTACTTGGGCTGGACTGATCAATTGGTTGTGTTTGACCTCGTTTGGGAGTGCTCGGTCCAGCTACATCAGTTGGTTGTTGTTGGTCTTGGTCGGATGTGGTTAAATCAATCACACCAATTATGCGTTTTCGGCCTTGTTTGAGAATATTTGGACCAGCTACAATCACAGTCGGTCGCTGGTTTGGACCGGGAGTATTTGGATTAGGTTGATCCATTGGCTGTTGTTGGATTCGGTTGTGAATACTCAAATCCACTGGTTCTTGCTGGTATTCATTTGAAGTGTCTGGATTAGGTTCATTAGTTGAAACGGACACTTGACTAGAAGTGCCTGATGCTTGTGGTGAATCATCGTTATCAGTCGGTGTCAGTATTGCATTGGCGGTTGCTGCCGCAGTCAGTACAAGTAAAATATCAACCAATTTCATCAGACTGGTCAATGGGTTTAAACGATTAGTACAAAAGTAGAGTGTCGAGACTGATGTCGATTATAAAGTTGAACTCAATCGATTGTATTTGTATGTTTTTGTATAGCAAACCAACCCTTTTAGATTAACCAATTATACAGGGTTATTTGATTGCTTGTAGTGGGCCAATATCAAACTAGACAGTGTGCTGCTCCCTATCCACAATATCATATCGATTAATTTGATGATCATGTCGATTGAATTATGCTTTTACGACCCTTTGATCAGGTATATTGAAAAGCACACCCTTCAAAGTGCTGTTTAACCGCAAACGCTTTGTTTTACAACTGTATTCATTGTGCAATGACTGTGTTCTGCATTGCAATATACAATGGTTACTACACATTGACTAAACTGTGTGTTTGATATACAACAACCATCATATGACACACAATCAGACTATAGTGTTGAATCTACACTTTGTGCACTCTTAGTAATCATACATTGTACGATCACCAAGTTTGAACCCACATTCATGTATTGTGTTGGACTGTCAATGTTGTCAATACAACTCTGCACACCCATTTGTTGTATTCTGAATCACAGATACGATCTCAATATAGTTCAACAACAATGATGACACATGCCAGTAATGCAACTGTTTATTTCACATCAACACTGTTATTTAGTGGTCCATTTACATCAATATGGCTGCAAGTTGTCGTTATATCACGTATTCTGGACATGGTTTTGGTATTGCACATCCAGTTACATCACATTGTTGCTGACCCATCATTGTAACGCTGTGTGTCCCCATAACCATAATCATAATCATAGACATGATCATGTGGTTTCACGTATAATATTACAACCACGCATGTCGTTGGTTGCATCATCACTACTAGTGTATAATACACTACACTACATGTATGTTGGCATGTGTTGTACCAATTTGATTGCATTGCTACAATGTGGCATGCTCCAACCTGTTTGAATGACTGTTGTGCAACATATTGATATTGACCACATGTGATACTGGTCACCAACAAAGTGATCAGCGGTATACAATTGATTATGCAATCACTGACTGCCAATACTTCAATTATGAATATTATCCACCATTTCATGACACCATCTGATACATTCAGTGCACAGTAGCTGATTGGTGCAATATGATCAATTCAAGCATACTATTACATTGGAAATGGTGGTGACAATGCAAGGTGTTTATTGGACAAACAAGACTGAATGCTTACATGACAAATGCAAATTGACAGTATAAATCATACAATACACACTGCAGTACAACATATTCTAAACAAGGTTGTTGATAGCGTGATTCCAGTTTTACAATGAAATTGAATTACCAAACAGTCGAGTGTCCAAACATTGATTTACTATACACTTTTAGTTATGGTGGTTTGCGTAGAAATGTTCAAGTATGCCTTCTATATCCAATGAACCTCAGCATCTGTCGTTTGAATCTATTAAACTTTGAACGTAATGAAGGAAGTTGAATATCATATTCTTGCAGTACACTAGATTCACTTGAATATCTAGCAATTTTAGTCGTTGGTACAAAGTGTACTTTAGCTTCCCTTGAACCAGCATCGTGACTTGATTTCTGCTGATGTTTTTTAGAATGATCGTGTTTTGAGCCGTGGGGTTTAAAAGTAGATCCGGGTTTCAAGATGGATTTTAATTCTGGAGTAGGTTCAGATACAACTCTGATTGATTCTTCTTCGATAGGTTCAAGAGCCAACTTGCGACACACCCATAATCTTCCTAGTCTCAGTTTCCTGAATTTCTTTTTATCAGATGAGCTCATTCTACGCTCCTTTTGTTTAGCTTCTAGTATTCTTTCCTTTGCCTTGGTGCTCATCTTGTGCGGATATCCGTCTCCAACATCAGTTGGAATTTCCATACCCATATTCTTCATTATTTTTTCGACTCTATCCAGCCTTTGTTGATGTGTGAGAATGGGCCGTTCATTCTCTGGGACATATTTTTTAGGGAGATGGCAGATGTCGTCATATAGTGTGTTGTCAAATATATCATCATCTGACTGTTTGGACTCAGAGTATGACGATAATTCATCGGACTCTTCAACAGAACTGTCTGAATCATCAGGATCTACAGTCGACTGAGCTACATCATGATTGGATTCAGTTGATTGTTGTTCTGTTCCAGTTGAAGCACAAATACCAGTGTGTTGCTGCATTTGTGTTGAACATTCTTTTACAGGTTCTGATTCGCTGGCAGATGGACGATCAATGACTACCGCACTGACTGTCACCGACAACAGCAACAACACAATAGTCGATATGAATTTCATCCTGTCGACGAGAATGAATGTGATAAAGCTTGTCAATTAGTAGGACAATTCTTGGTAATGAATGGGTCAGTTGTGGATATGAACCATACCTTCATAGCGATTAAATATATGATCAAGACATACGGGTTATATGAGCTTATGCAGCAACAACTCGACCGCTATTTAGGTATATGTAGCACATATACTCATGTGTAAACTCTTTTATGCACAGCCTTTCAACCATTAAATGAAACATGACTCATAGTCAAGGAATGGTGACCCTAATACATATACTAAAAAATATGTCAAGATCGATTGGCATAATCATTCAGTTTCAAGTTACGGTCAGTATAGGGTAACAGTTTATCCACACAACAGCTGGCCAAATATTAGTGGTAAAATCCTTCAAACGACTCTGCCTCAACACTTGATCTAGTGATATGGCACTGTGCTGCAGTCCTGTTCAATGCAGTATGGATTGATGATCATATCAGCAATATCAATACTTTATGCCAACTGTAATACTTTCAATACGCAAACTCAAAGTATTGCCAATGATTAGAAAAGCTTCAACAGAACTCTTGAACTGTCAATTGTCATGCTATCAATAGTATGAACATCCGACTCAATACTGTACATGACTGGTTGTCAAGAGTCTTGCAGCGTTTACTTGGCAAACTGGATTCCTGTTTCGATTATACAAACATGACATCAAAAACATGTCTACTTTGGAACAAGACGTTGAGTTGAATGTCCAGCAATATACAAAAATATACAAAAACAGCACGAATTGAATGTCAAAACTCGATTACTAACAATTTCAAATCTACAGAAACGAATACGACAACTTGCAGTCTAGTCATGTAAACGGAACACTAACAGTGTCAGTGTGTAATAAACAGTCAGTGTCATGGACTGGTTGACAATACAGTGGTGTTGTTGGTGGTGATTGGCATACATGGTTGCATTACTGGCATGTGTCATCATTGTTGTTGAATTAGATTGCGATCGTATTTGTGATTCAGAATACAACAAATGTGTACAGAGTTGTATTGACAACATTGACAGTCAAACACAATACATGAATGTGGGTTCAAACTTGGTGATCGTACAATGTATGACTACCAAATGTGTCGAGTATCCATGCAGAATACTAAATGGTAATATGTGATGATTCAAGGACTCGTATCACCAATGTTTGTGTGCCGTAGTTCCACTATTTGACTTGGTAAACAATAGGAATTACACCTATTGATCAATTTACTTTTCTGATTGCTCATCATACATTCTACTTGTTCGTGTCACCAAGATACAAACAATCAATTACTACAAGACTGACTATAACTCATATTTATTAATAAATGACTCTTCCAACCATTTCAACATATTATTGTTTTATTACATATTTTCATTATCATTGAAAACCCCAAATCTGCTGATCCTGAATTATTGTGCAACACCCATTACACTTTTGATTTGTTATTTTCTGTCAACTACTAACAGTCACAGATCATACACACTCCATTTAAATTAATGTAAATCAGATTACACAAAACTCCAACAGAGTTGTTGGTTGTTGATGGACAAGTTGGATATAAAGTTGTTTTTAATCAATCCGTTGACAATCATGATAGCATACTTTGATTTGTATGTACGCAATACTGCTGTCATCTTGTGTATGGTGTTTTGTATTCCTACAAACGCACTCTATTTCCAGCTGTTTTCTTTGTATACATTTGATGTTGTGTAACAATGAGGGTGTAAAATGTAGTACAGAAATAGATGACTAAATTACAATTATTCCAACGGATTTAGTACTCTTGTTCAAGTAAAACAGTATCATCCGATGCTCACTATACACTACTTGTACGTTGAATCATGCCAATCACTTGCTACTTTAATAAACATGGAATATCACAACAATATTGATGACCAACTAATATCCGAGTGTCAACTCATTTCAGTCTCAGTTTATGCTCATTTCTTAACCCTGACCCTTGACTATAGCCATTTTTAGGGTGAAGCTTTATAATCAACCATATGCTATTTGAGCGTATGATCAAATAGCGGCTCAACCAAGGTTGCAGACCACCATATAAAGGGAGATCCCTTCAAAGTTTGGCATTGACAACAAATCAACATTCAACCCTGACAACGCTAGCCCTTGAAACGGTCATTCAAGGAGTATGCTTTTAATATCATTTATTCAATAACGAATATAAATATAGTTCAAAAACCGACTTGTTGAATGACATTACAACTTGCTCAACCAAACCAGTAGAATGAAACTCGCAGTTGCTGTATTGTCATCGATCTTGCTTGCCCTCTCGGTTACTACAGCCAATCCAGTCAACCCCAGTGCAACTACAGATGTTGAAACTAGCACTTCAACCGTCATTCCCAGTGCAACTACAAGTACTGAAGCTAGCACCTCGTCAACTCCTAATCCAAACGGTATAGGCTTAGACGGTCTTGATCCACTTCCAGGTAACGTCAAGGAATTGCTCGAAAAATACGCAGAGATAGATCATGATCGTAAACAGCAAAGAAAAATATGCAAGTTGTTAAAATCTCGATATGAGGGTCAACGTAAGGTGGTAAAGCGCTTGGAAAAAAAGCTTGAAACTCTGGAAAAGAAACCTCAAAGAAAAGGTGGCGATCCAGAGCACGATGAAAAAATTCAAAAGGCTGAGCTTGATCTTGAAGCTCAATATTTCGAATTTGGCAAATTTCGAAAAGAATTTGTTGAGTGCGAGTCCAAGCTTGGTGATCTTGTAGAAAAAGAATGGGAGACCGATCAACAGATTGTGAGTCTCGTTTTCGGAGCCACTATGAATGTTGCAACAGTTGCTCACCAAGCTTCGCTTATCAAAGAAACGCCTTCCGCTAAAAATTACCTTGAAAAGCAATCATTAAAAAACAAGGATCTTGATCAAAAATCTGGTGGTCGACGAAAACACAAAGATTTAGAATCATCGGACGAAGAATCATCAGATGAAGAATCTGGATCTGGATCCTCTAGACAGAAAGCTCCCTCCAATAAACGGAAAGGGTTTTCCAAGCTTATGGATGGATTGGGATCATTCTTTAAACGACCCAAACGTGACGATCCACTCAATTGATTTAAATGCTAATCTGGACTTGTTTCAACCAATTCAATTGTCATTATGGTTTAATTTACAATAAATTTGTATGTGCATGCATTATATCTGATCATTGTACACAATCTTGATTGGCATGATATCATATTTTACATTGACACTTGTATTTCCAATACAATACAGTTGATTATATATTGCATAGTTGTACACATTGATGATGCTGACATGCATGTGTGTATTGTGTCGATATGATATTTCTTGACATGTCGTATTGGCACATGCAATACCAATACCAACAATAGCCATGTGTGTTGATATCAGATCTGACTGGTTTGACTGGTTTGACTCGTTGATTGTGGTGTCAAAATGGTTGCATCAATAGCCTGACTGATCACACACATCAGTCGCAGTATCAACTTTGTCGTGTATCAAATATCACATGTTGAATATACAATGCCAACAATATGGTCATTATGCACATGTTGATGTATACAGTAATTGTATACTGGTCGATTGGTGCAATATGATCACACATACTAATGGAATGTAATAATCATGGTATTTGCAGCAGTATACTATATTAAACTGATCCAATACATGCACGGTTTGAACATATCACACACATTACAATAAATGGCATGATACATACACCGACTCCATCAACATTGGATCTCATTGTGTAACATTTCTTGATATCACCATCCAATTCAACGGGTGATCATTTTGATAGCCTATTGTTTGATGGACTGTCAATTTCAAAAGGTGATTCTAATGCAAGTCGAACTGCAGCAACCGCCTGTAACGCAAGTATAACGCATTCTAGAGTAATCAACATTGTATCGAGTAGTGTGATGAAAATGGGTTGAATCTGGTACATGACTGCCGTTTTATAACAACGGCAGTTTCAAGGGTGACAATCAGCAATCTCCAAACGGATATTTAGAAAACGCCAAATACACCATGTAGGGTGAATCAATATACAAGCATCACTGTTGGTGTATAATCAACCTCGGTAGTATGCTCCGTTGATCTCTCCAATTGCGGTCATGTATCCAGTGATCAGGTAGTGCCATTCTGGATAATTATCATCGCATCTACAATCCATTAATACAACATATACTGTCATTGTATGCCAAGTATTTGACTGATTGTTCAATTGGTCATGTTTTTTGACCAGCATCCATCTGTGCACTGTTTAGATTGGTCCCATTTGTCATTTATCAGTCAATTTGTATACAGGTCGGGTCATCCAACGACTTGCTATCATGCAAATTCAAATACAGTCTATGCAACAGTCGGTTGTTTTTGTGTATATCCAGATTGAACTACCAATAATGGTTATTTCAAAGTCACTCAATATCCTGCCAATTGTCATTGTGATTGTATTCCACATCCAATTCTAGATTGTAATCACAACCACAATTACCGTGCTTGATCAAATGGTGTTTTGCATTGATCATGGTATCATACATCACGATACTGCCAGATTACTGCACGCAAGTCATGACCAATACAAATGCATTACTGATTGACACTGATCGACACCATATATACAGTCAGACAGCACAACAAGTCACCAGCATGCCATTGATCGTGTTGCAATACAATTGACCAATATATCATGCTGTATGTTGCACCAAGTCGCGACATACAACAACATTACTGACTGAATACAGGTCACAACTGCAAGTATTCATGTGGTAATTAACTGACATTGGTGTTGATATCCAATTGATTGACTAGTCGATCATCATCAATTGCATCAGTGATTGGTATATGCAATTGATATACACCATGTCCGAGTCTGATACATGTCGATATATGCGTGTCAATCAGCAATGCATATTTGTGACCATTACAGTTGAATGTGAGTTGAGTCGATCACTAAACCAACGAATCACTGATTGCATTCTAAATATGGTGCGATTTGATACAACATGACAATATATTGTCCAACAGGTTCAACATACACAACACCGATATCCAATACATCACACATGTATACACTGCATATACAAGCAGTAGCAATGACCGATCCAAACCAACAGTGACAGAGTTACACATCAACATATAGTCGATTATCAGTCGAGTCTGCATATATCAACTAGTTGCGACACGTCATAATCAATGTGGATTGTATTGCTCACCAATCGATCATGACAACTAATCAATACCAATCATGTAGTCGATACAATCACCAACATATCGATGATTGTTGACTAGCGGTTACAACTCGTCAATTGCATCCAATGTTACAGGTGATGCACATCTGATTACTGCAAATCAACAACTTGTCAATCATATCATAGTGTGCATTGCCAACAAACCATGCAATTACAAATCAATGTATACGTGACCAACATTTGATATTTGATGGTGATGAATCAACCATGATTGATTGTATCATACAACTAATACAGTTGCATTGTCTGGTATGTATGATCGCCCACTCATGCCAAACAATAACCAATGTGTGTATATCGAGTTTGTGTTGCATGGACACATCAAGGTGTTTGATAACGAGTCCAACGTGATGATACAAACCCAATATTATATGAATATACAAGTTGATGAATCAAGTCAAGGTTTGCAAAGTGTCAATGTCAGATCAATCAAACGAACCAGTCAACCATTATATTGTGACTAGTGATGGCACGGTTTGAATGTCAACGAGTTAGACAGTCGACAATATGGGTGATTGCGATTTGGTCAAACCGCAATACTCGTATATCACTAAACCAGTTTGATGTACGTGGTGTAAGCAGTATGCATAAACTCGTTGATATCATGGACTATAACCATTCAGGAACGGGAAAACTGGGTAGCATATTTCAACGGCTTGAATTTTTAGGAGATGCAGTGCTTTCTTACCTTGCAATGCAACATTTGTATAAAATTACACCACCGTTGAATCCAGGTGGATTATCAAAACTTCGCGCTGAGCTTGTTTGCAATCAATTTCTGGCATGTGTGTCGATTCAAATTGGGTTGGTAAAGTATATACGCCATACAGATATGACTATGGAAGCAGCAATCGGGCGGTTTACTGCATGGGTTCAAGGCTATCTTGCATCTGAATCATCTACTTCATTACCAATATCGACGTCAGCTACTCAAATTGCCTCTGCTCGATTGTTTTGGAACAAGGGAAATACAGCACCAAAAACTGCAGGTGATGTTTACGAGTCCATGCTAGGTGCTGTATTTGTAGATTCTCAATTTGATATACACTGCGTGCAAAGCATGTTTGACATCACAGTGATCTCACCTTGGTGGTGGCGATTCACATCGCTGTTTGGTGGAGAATCAATGATATACGAGAACCCAGTTGCTGAATTGCGAACCTTGTCCTATTCATTGTTTAAATGTGTCAAGATAGATTACACGTATGTTTTTTGTCGGGTAAATTTGACAACTACAAATCTATTGTCTGCATTTCTGTTGAATACAATTGCCAAAAAGTACTGAAATCCAACTATTTTTAAAAACAAAACATTCAGATATGAATATGGTCTACATGGAGGTACTACCGCAACTATCACGTATCACAACATGGTATTGGCTCAATGTCTCGGCACTGGGCAACGCGATGCCAAAAAAGCAGCGGCATGTACAGCCGTCGAGTATGTCAATATGCATAAAGACGAGCTAAAAGACTTGTGCGATTGTGCACATCAGCAAAAACAGGAGTCCACAGAGACAAAAGTATATGCAGCCGATAGCATCATTTGTTTTGATTCAGACAAGGACAAGCCGACACGGTCTAATAAGGAATCGGCTCGGCCTTCTATCGAGTATGCAACAACTACTGATCAACAAGATCCGGCGAGTGATTGGGGTGAGTCTGTTGATCAAGCAACACATGCACCACTTGAATCTATTGCAATTTCACCCGATACTTTGTAATGCACGAGTCGAAGCATGTTGAAGGCTTGTTATCGTGCAGTAATGATTGCCCATCCATCCACACTGCAATAGAGATCCACTCCACAGCTGCAACCATAGTAATGAACCAGTCTAATTATAATCTTGAAATATCGAGAATTAATATATTGCAGCTTGACCAAATTTGTAATCGTCATCATCCATCATATCTGCTGCAGAATAACTGGATGAGCCAATATTAGCAACACGTCCTCGAGTCTTGCTTTTAGGAGTCGAGTTGGATACTATAGTCTTGGATACCTTTCCTGCTTTCTTGGAGCGTAATACAGCTTTAGTCTTTCCAGCAGCAGTGGGTTTATCACCTAACCGGTCAATAAGCCGCTTGCCAAGACGATTCTCAATTGGACCTGGTTTGGGTCCAAGACGCTTTACAAGGGGTTTGACCACTGAAATGGTCTTGGATGCTTTAGTACGACCATTACTTTGCTTGGTCATCATACTGGCAGCAGAATTGGACATTTTATGACCAGTCTGTTGTTGCTGCTTCAAGAGAGTTGCAGCAGTCTTTGCATCAAGTCTTTTGTTAAAAGTGGATGGCTCAAGTCTTTTCTGAACAGTTGTAGAGGATGATGGATGAACTGCTCGAGTCTTGGCAGCAACAGCTCTATCCCTTTCAATCAATGCAAACCTTGAGGCGAATGCAGCATGAGCATCGTTAATACAAACCATTTACACGTAGCAATGGCTGAATACTATCATTCTAGCCAACACTACTTACCGCTCAGCCAATGTCATGATAATATATCGACAAGATCTGAACCAACTTCAAACTTTATTTAATCATTCTGCATATTGGATGATATGCCAAGGAATTCAGTTCAATATAAGCCTCAACAGTTCCATGAAGTTCCCGAAACACTATTCCATCTCAACTGTGCTCCATACGCTGTATTAATCTGGCATGCTGCCGAATTGAATGTTGTCAGCGCATTTTGGGTTGCAGTCTGTAGATACAGCGCATTGGCATGTGCTGCAGCTTGCTGATTAGCAGCGGCTATATTATTCCAAATAGCCTGATTCTATAATGGGTTTACATGTTAATATTTAGAATAGTAACTCAACCCTTCGAGTTTAAAGTTACCTGAAGTGCGAGATTTTGCTGCAGAGCAATCATTGCATTATAATAATTGCTATCGTTGTCCCAGTAAGTAGACAAACAGCCGGCATTCCACAAAACATTTCCATAACTAGCCAGATTGGTATTCCAGTTCTGCCACTGAGCCCAGTATACAGATGGATCAACCACTGGTGCCGCGGCTGCACCACCAACAGCATTGGCCGAAGCAATAGCTACGCCATTGGTTGCTATGGCAGTAGCAGTGGCCTGAACTTGTGCTTGAATGGCTGTTTGTTGTTGCTGCATGGTGGTATGAAACTGCATCGCAGCAGTCCCATATTGATCAAGAGTGTATGGACAACCTGTGCCCAAATCGCGTTTCTCAGTCGTGTAACCCATAGTAGTATAAGATGGAATGGCTGCTGCGATCTGCACCATCACTGCAGTTATAATAGTAAACAGATGCATTTTATAAATAGCCAAGATTGGTTGATCAATAAAGATAGTGTATTGGCTTTTATATTCCTCAACTGCAAGGTTTTATTCCCACATTCGAATCAAATACAGCTTTACAATACATTCCAACAAATAATAAAATAGCTTAAACATCCTTCAAGTCAATATTACAAATTCACATACATGCAAGTTGAGTTTATTGTGTCAAAGTGTGAACAGAATTGCAAAAATATATCAAGCATGGGAAAATTCCCGGTCTGGATATAATAAGCTTTTTAGGTGTGCTAACAAAAAATGGGTAGATTCAATTATTACATGCCTACACCATATCCCGGAGCAACTCCAGCACCGTATCCTGCGCCAACTCCAGCGCCATATCCTGCACCAACTCCCGCGCCATATCCAGCTCCTGATCCTGCTCCCCACCATCGTCGTTCCAAGCGTGTATTATCTTGAACACCTTTACACTCACCAATCTTGGCATCACAGCTGCCTAGTTGCTTGGCACGACATGATAGCGATTTGAACTGCAATTCAAGTTTTGCCGTGGCTTCACGAACACGATCAAGTTGCTGCAGTAGCTGTGTTTTTTGGTTACCTTGATATTGCTGTTCAAGATTAGATGATGTACAGTCCAACAATGCAAGTTTTTGCAATGCAATGCCACGTATGAATCCACGCACTGCATTGGCTCGATCTACTGCTGCAGACTTGTCTTCACCACACGACACATCACTCTTGATTGCATTTTCTTGACATGTGGAAACCGCATTGATTCCGGCACATGATGGTTTCATACCGCTCTTGACATCAGACCATGAATCCATAACCAATGGACTAGCAGTCGTGAATCTGACCATATTGTTGCCAAGACGATCATTCAAATCATGCAAACGAGTCAATGCATCATGACGTGCACCAAACGATGAATCAGGCATTGCTGGTTGTTGAATACTGGATGCATGCAATCTATCCAGCATGTCACGGATGGTTGACATTTGTTGTTGGATTACATTTTGCAAATTCTGGATGGTGTTTGCGTAATCGTCAACTGAACAGACGGATGATTGATGTGGAATATCAATGTTTTGAGTATCAGCAGTGTTTTGTGGAAATACTGGTTTTGAAAACGTTGGAGCTGAAAAAATCGGGATTCTGGCTGCATCCTGAATGGCAGGTCCAGATCCAGACTCGGATCCAGGTCCAGACTCAGATGACAGGTCAGGACCAAATCCAGGACCAGATCCAGGACCAGTATCGAGACCAGTGTTTTGATTTTGGTTGATAGACGGTGCATTAAACTGGAGTCTGTCATTGATGGCAGGAACAGCAATGACTGCAGAAGCAGTGATAATCACAGTCGAAATAATAGTAAACTTCATAATAGACAAATTAACGAGCATGTTATACACCAAATCAGATGTTTTTATACTTGCACATCAATACAATATTAATGCGAATCATGACACGCAGAATAGTTTAATTCAATTACGAGCATGTCATTAAACTCTAATTAAACTATAAGCTTGATTTGATTTACACAAATCAACGTAAACTGCATCATCATGTAGTAGCAACAATTTGTAGAATACTGCTAGAATACTGTATGTTTCAAACAGTTGGTTGGTGCAGTGTTGTAACATGCATTTGGATTCTGACTACTGATCAAATGATCATTGTTTAATTACACCATAATGATGTAAATGGAATGGTTTTGTATTGGTATTGCAATGTATGTGACTGTTTTAGTTTGTAGTAAACACTGGTTGATACTTGTTACACTCTCATATTGAAGATTGACTTGATGGACATTTTTGACTGATGCAACATCCATCATATCATACAAACGATAGTTTTGAACTGGAATAGTTGTTCATTTCTGGTAGTCATACGTTGTACAATCACCAGATTGATGTACTGAAATGCATAGATTAAACTGTTTTGATGGCAATCAAACTGTACAAACATTCGTATGCTAAAATCAGATACGTTTACGTTCTAGTTCAAGAAACCAAGAATTGCATGTCTTGAGAATGCAACTCTGCATGCCAATCACCAAAAGACTTGTAAAAAAGCTCAATGAAAATGTTGTACAGTAAATGCAATGTAAATCATCATATGAGATTGGCAGTTTATTATATATTGACACTCGTATTGGGTGATCCATTTTGCGTGAATACGACTGTATAAACCATTTAATCACTTGAAATGCCCAACCAATCGATTGATAATCAAACTCGATCCATGTGATTATAATTTAAATATTTATTTGTTTAGGTAAGTCGTCATCTTCATCTGTTGCTCCATATGCAGATTGTCCACGTCTTGAACTGAGCAGTCTAGATGATCCGCTATCTCTTTTTCCAGTACTGCTGATGGATACGCTATTTAATACTCCCATTTCAATTTCATCGTCTCCAACCATATCATTCAAAAACCTTCGAATTTCATCATCGACATTCTTGCCAGTAATTTTTGCATAGTGATCTACTTGCTTCAGCAACTGCTCCTTATGATACTCTTTATATTTCCGAGGATCTCCTTCATAGTTGTCCATAAAATGGAGTTCATGAGGAAGAGCGTGTTTAATTTGTTCTGCCGCATCTTTGATAAACGGTAAAGTGAGATACAAAGCGGCAACACCACCAGTGAATATACACGGGACAAGGAGAGCATATTCGTGAATAGAAAGCCATGCGATTTGACCACACATGCCACCTGCAATAAACCCAAAAAGAATAGGAACATGAACCTTGAGACGCCATAACTCGGCCTTGGTATCGGATCGACACGCTTGACCCAAGATATTTCCTACATCTGTAGCGATTCCTGTCATGTGTGTTGTGCGAACAGCCAACCCAGAGTAAGAAGTCACCATTGCGTTTTGTAATCCGCAAGCAAATGCTGCAGCTCATTCGCCCAATACCAACTCTCGACGCAAAAACATAAACGATGTAAACAACGCAGCAGATTCTATACACAGTGTTATTCCGTAATTGGCACCAAGTTTGAATCGGTTGTCGCCCACTATAAATCCAGCCATAAACGATCCAAATGTAAATGATACAATAATAGATACGACCAAAAGAAATGTTTCCCAGTCTTGCTGAACAGCCGATATAGCAACCCGAGAAACCGATCCAGTGACATGAGAGACCGTCACACCTATAGGTTCAGTTGATAATTGTGTCAATGTGAACAGGTTTTAGTGAGCAGCCACCAATTGGTTTGTGGTATCAGAAAATATTGTGTTTTGCAATAACACAATCCATAGCATTATGAAAACAAATCATTAGAATACAAGAAGCGTGTTGTAGCAATCAATAGTTTGAGTCAGACTAACGCGAGTTTGGAGCATTTGATATGCAAAATGGTCAAAGAAATATGTATTCAAGTGGTAAATAAACACTATATATTGTGTTGTGCACTATGAATTGAAATACATGCAAGGATAGGATAGACTTCAATCATCTATTCAAGTCAAACTGAAGATGGCGCGACAAGATACACGGTTCATGGCACTTGCCTGGAAATACACCTGCCATAGAGACGACATTGATGAAACCGGCATTAGCAGCAAGAGCTACACCACCAGCAACAATGGTGTGAAACTCCCGTTCTGGCAAGTTATTCATGGTTTAGCGTATTATATAGTGAATGCAATTTTGTAGTCTATGAAATACTGTCAGGGTTTGCAAAACAATGTTTGGACAAGTTGATAGGATTTAAATCACCGACATATTCACGTAAAATGGAACATTAAATAAGGATGTCAAAATACATGATATAAAACCAACTTTATGAAATGGTTGTGCCAGTTTACTGGACAACATTGGGTCATTTGAACTGACAAAGTTGACTGGTATCCTGGTGATTGAAATGAAAACAAGTATATTCTCGAAACCTGCGATCTTGTTCTCTTGAACTAGAACGGAAACATATCTGATAGTTTAGGATACAATAGAGTGGAGTTTAATTGAAAATACAACTGTAAAAGTAAAGTTGAACATATTTGATTTTATTCGTACAAAGAATTAGCTGCATTGGTGAGCACTTGATAGTATCGAAACAGGATAAACCAGCCTAGAACCAACCCAGATCATTTGTGCATTAAAACCAAACTCCATCTTTATCAAAAAATCAGTATAGAGCAATTATTGCTTTTCCAAAAAAGCAAATACTGCATTGGCAAATTTCTCGAGGGCAGTATCATCATACGATAGATATAGTGATGGTTCAATCAATTCCAGTTCCATCAAAACAGGTTTAACCCCATCGATAAGAACAATGTCAGTAGTATATAGGGCATCCGATGATACCAGTTTTTAGGCGAGATTCTCTGCTGAAATGGTCAAAAGTTAATAGTATAATAATTTCATATCAAACTTTCGTCATAAATAATTCTTTCCGACATTCAACGCATTTAGTTTCTAATTAGAATCTGAATTTGACTTTTAGAATCTGAGCAGAATCTAATTGCCTGAAATTTGTTATATTTGTTTCTATGCAAGACTACTCAGTTGTTATTTTCAAAATTTGGTAAAGCTATTTTTATTATCAAACAACAATTAACGTTCAATGATGAAATCCTCCGGCTTTTTGACATCGTAACAATATCCTGATGGATAAACGCAAATGAATCCAAGGTGTGCGATCTTTCTAATATCCTCTGGAAACAACGTACCACACAACACCCCAACATACTTTGTGACATTTCGAAATTCTGGCTGGGCATTGGCTTGAAACTCCTTGAACTTGCGAATTCTTGCAGGGAGCTTGTTCACTTGTTTATCGGTCATATTATGCTTGGCCTCGCATAAGTACAGGACATTGCCATCTTTAAAGACAGCATTCCACTCCTGGACAATGGTTTTTCCGTCTGCAGCCATAATGTCCGTTGGCATTACCTCGATTGAAGGACCAAGATGGGTAGCAAGGAATCGCCTCACGGCCAAGTGAGTTTCCTCCTCCATAACTTGATCTTCATTCTGCTGCCGACGTACTTCGTCAGCAAACGACCGTTCGTAGCGAGAATATACATTGTACTTTTCTCCATTGATCAACTGCTTGAACTTGATAATCTTGTCCTTGGGATTGAACAGCTGGTAGAGAGCCG